AACTGGCATACATTTGAGTCATCAATATTGAATTTTAACCTTAGAAATTCTTTTGCAGGATAAATGTGATTCATAATTTTAAAGTGCACTTCCTTACATTTAGGATTAACAGGATATGGAAGAAATCTTTTTCTAATATCATAAATAATTTTCTTATCACAATGAGACAAAATATAAGCTCTCTTAACAGGTCCTGGAAAACAACACTGTGTTAGACAATCTCTCAAAAATTTGTTTGAGCATTTTCTATCTGTAAAGTTAACATTCTCTATCTTAAGATCAATTATTTTTGGATTTATCGTTGAATATTTTATTTGTTCTTTTACTAGGTTAACTATTTGCAGTGGTATATTTTTGATAATTTTATCATATCTTTTAGGAGAACAACTTATTTGGTATTTTCTACAGAAAGCATCATGACTCAACATATTTCCTGAATCATCCATAACATGTGTTATTGACCATATGCCATTCTTCCACCATTCGTCAATAAACAATGATTTTTTATTCACCAAAATACACCTATTATTCCAAATAGATATGTTATGTGGGCTAAAATTATGTTTAAATATTAGTTTCCAATATAATAGCACTTGTTGATGAAAAGCAGAAAGTTTTATAGGAAGTTAAGACAATTCAAAATCATTCTGTAATAAACACATCAGAGAAGATAAGATCAGCTAAAATACAACAGAACATTTTCCCTAGGCTAGTCCAGGGGTGGCCAACCCTGCTCCTGGAGAGCCACCTTCGTGCAGATTTCAGTTGCAACCCATATCAAACACACCTGAACCAATTAATTAGGACCTGAACACCACAGATTTTTATTTATTCGGTTAAATTAACTTAAACGGTTAGAACGGCAACAAATATTTAGTTAAACCCAAACTACAAAACGAAATTTAAAACAATTTTAAACTAGTTTTAAACTACTGGGGTTTTGAAATCAGTAAATGCAAATGATCTAGATAACCGTGAAACCGTGATTATCTCTTAGACTCTAATCGTACAACCAAAATATATAATCATTGCATTCCTACTTGTAAAATGTTTTCTCTATTTAAAAACAATACAGTAGCGAAAGTCAGACTATAAAATTTAAATATTTGTTAGCATTGGCCAAAACTGATTAGCTGAAGTCCTGCCAAAGTGACAGCCAACAGAGGATTCCGCTTGACTTCGATGGGTTATTTTTACTATGATGGCATAGCAGTCAAAATAGGACAAATGAGCTCATGTAGAGACAAATTCTGGACTTTTGTCGGAGAGGGATGGGGCCTGCCATGTCCATCCCTTTATAACCACATTGTACTCATTTTCTGGTGGCTACTTCCAGCAGGATAACGCACCATGTCATAAAGCGTGAATCATCTCAGACTGGTTTCTTAAATATGACAATAAGTTTACCGTACTCAAATGGTCTCCACAGTCACCAGATCTCAATCTAATAGAGCAACTTTGGGATGTGGTGGAACGGGAGATTCGCATCATGGATGTGCAGCCGACAATGAAGGATTAAAGCAGTTGTAATATAGTATATAGTATTCTAATATAGTATATATATTAATTAGGCAAGTTATTCTATAACAATGGTTTGTTCTGTAGACAGTCGAAAAATAAATAGCTTAAATGGGCTATAAATTTTGACCTTAAAATGGTGGTTAAAAAATTAAAAACTGCTTTTATTTTAGCCGAAATAAAACAAATAAGACTTTCTCTAGAAGAAAAAATATTATCAGACATTCTGTGAAAATTTCCTTGCTCTGTTAAAAACCATTTGGGAAATATTTAAAAAAGAAAAAACATTGCAAAGGGGTTTTAATAATTCTGCTAGCAACTGTTTATATATATTTATCGTTGGAAAGTTCCAACACTTCTAAATACTTTTTTTTACCACTGTTTATTTTTTTATTTATTTGT